GAATATACCACAGCTTCTCTACCCATTCGTTTGTTGATGGGCATTTAGGTTGTTTCCAACTCCTTGCTATTGTAAACAAAGTCGCGAAAACTTCTGTTATTAAGACTCTTGTCTGAGATGGTATTACCAAATGTTTTTTACCAGTGTGTAGGTTTTCTTTTCACCCTGTTGGAAAAAGTTTTTGATGTGCACAGAGACTTAATCTTTAGAAGGTCCCATGGGCAAATGACACAGAAAGAATTTTCATAAAGGAAGATATTCAAATGGCAAAAATACACATGAAGAAATGCTCCAAGTCACTGGCAATGAGAGAGAGGCAAATCACCACCACAATGAGGTACCATCTCACTCCAGTAAGATTGGCAAAGTTTAACAGGGCACCAAATAATAATTGTTGGAGAGGATGTGGCAAGAAAGAAACTCTTAGACATTGTTGGTGGGATTGTAAAATGGTGCAGCCATTCTGGAAGGCAGTTTAGTGTTTCCTCAAAAAGCTGAACATAGAAATTCCATATGACCCAGCTATTCCACTGCTTGGAATATCCCCTGAGAATATGAGAACTGAGGCATAAACTGAGATTTGTACACCAATGTTCACAGCAGCATTATTCACCATCATAAGAACATGGAAACAGCCCAAATGTCCAACCATCACACAACCAAACACTATGCAGCACTCAGGAGCAATAACTTTGTAAATTACTACCCAACTTTGGAGGGCTGGAAAGCATTATGCTGAGTGAACTAACTCAGTCCCACAAGGATAAATATTGTATAAAATCATTATTGCAGAACAAGTATAAGGATCCAGGAGGCGTGGGAGAGGTTGGAAGCAGAGGGATGTGGCTGTACAGGGGAAGGGAGGATTAATCACTGGGTTGTACAATTTGATGGGGGGTGGGGGGGTGAGGGAAATTGAAAGAATTTGTTCAAATTTTGTTAGAATTTTGTAAATAAACTAGTGAAAACAACAACAAAAAATAAAGATCAATAACAAGAACTGGCCATCCCTAAGGTGTCATAGAGGGAAGAGGCAGTCCAGGGTATAAAGTACCCATAGGCTAAATTATTTCATTAATTTTTCTTAAATCAATACTCATTCTCCAGTTACCTGATTTCCTTTTTATTACAAACACAGGAGAATTAAAAAAAGGAAAATAAATTGCCTCAGAATACTTGGTGGAGGGTTCAGCTATGAATCGGTTCTGACATGACAGTACATGACAACTAAGAAGCTGCTCAGTGGGAGAAAGAAGTGCTTTCATGAAGCCTGGGAGACTGTGGGTCATTTCTACAGGACCCCTATGAGACTGCACTGACTGGATGGCAATGGGCTCAGCTCAGCTGTGGTAGTACAGAAAGTATTTTTTTCCCTCTTTGGTCAAGGTGCTTCTGTATAACTTCCAAATGCCAACACTCTGGGCAGTGGGTGAATGCTTCCTTTTTGTGCCATCCAGTGACTGCAGGATAGATATATAAATTAAAGTCCATACAAATGTGCTAAACGGGGTGGGTGGGGAGAAAACTGCAACAATGAATGACTGGAAACCCTAAGTCTCTGTAAGCTTTCATTAAAATTAATAAAAACAAAAAAAAATTATTAAAACAAAACTAAACAAAACCCCAAATGTGCTAAACCGATTATTGGCAAAAGTGCAAGGCAATTAAAAGAGATAGTCTTTTCCACATTAAATGGTGATGAAGCAAATAAAACATCCATATTAAAAAAAAAAAAAAGGTAAAGCTTGAACTGTAACTCACATCATTTTAATTAGAAATTTATAGAAAAGTTGGGGGTTAAATGTTAAGTATAAAAATTTTTAGAAGAAAACAAGAAAAAGATATTTATGACTTTTGATTAGGCAAAGTGTTCTTATCCATAAGAGAAAATTTTTGATAAGCTTAAATAAAGTCAGTAAGTGAAAACTTCTGGTTTACATATAAAGTAATTAAGAGCACAAAAGAAATCTTAGTGTGGGAGAAAATATTTGAGAAAGGATTTGTTCTCTGAATATGAAAATAATTCACAAAAACCAAAACCAAAATAAACCAAAAAAAAAACACAAACAACCCCACAACAAAAAAACCCAAACCCCCAAAATTACTTAACAATAAGTCTTAAAAATGTAAGCAAAAGATGTGAATAGGTATTTCATTAAGAAACATACATGAGTGGCAAATAGGTTCAAAAGAAAGTGTCAACAACATTGGTAATTATGGAACTGCAAATTATAACCACAATAGAAACTCCCTACTCATTTGTAGAGTGGCTAGAAAAAGACTAAAAGCATACTGACAATAGCAAATCCCAGAGCCACACTGCATGGGTACAGGGAGTACCCTACATCTCAGAGTTTTTTAGGACTTAAGGAGTTTGTGAAATATCCAGAACCATGACAGTCCCATATATGCATTACTGAAATCCCTAATCTTTTTTTAAACAGGTAGAATTGAGATTCAGGCACTCAATTAGGATATGAGTTTAATTTTACAGAGAAAGGATTTCATAGCTGCTTTCTCACTTATGAGAGTTCGTCAGTCTAGTCTTCAGATTAACCAACATTCATCAGACATGCTAGAAAATTCCAGGATTAAGTATGTGTAAAGAATTTAAGAACTTGTTTTATATTCCCTGTCCTCTTACATTAGGAGTAGACCTATTAATACTTAGTTATTTTAGCTAAGAGCTCAAACCTCTGGAGCTAGGCTGCGTGGTTTCAGAGAGTACCTACATCATTTGAGTTGTTCTGAGGACTTATTATTTGTGAAGTATCCAGAACCAAGATTTTATCTACATTACTGAAGTTAATTGGTGAACTTGGAAAAAGTTTATGAATGTGTCTCAAGAATCTGTAATTTTTAAAAAGGTTCACAGGAGATTCTGAGCAAGAACAAAAAGTAAAAACTGCAGACTTACATTATAATTTGTGATTCAATAATAATCTGTAATTCCTAAAATACCAAGATGACGTTACTATTATGAAAGAATAGATCTGCAATTCCTGTTGCTGACTGATGTCACACTCTCTTCCCATGTTACTCAAAAGCTGACTCATCTTTCAGGTACAGGCAAACACGTCAGTTGCTCCAGGAAGCAGACAAAGACTCTGAGTTAACATGCTTACATGTTCTACCACATTCAGAGCTCTTTCTTGATCTTGGTATTTATCAGTTCTGTGACTGTAAATCTTGTCAGCATTTAACATGCAACTCAAAGACCATGCGAGTTTGAATCATCTCTGGCTTAATATCTCGTTTCTAAAAGGCAGCACAATTTCTAGAATTCAGCAGATAGGTAACAAATATTTATTAGCTTAATATCTTTATTTTTATATGAATAACAGATTCCTTTATGGGCTAGTTTCACATACAGCCAACATGCATTTGTACAGGAGCTTTGAAGCTGGCTCTATTAATTTAGAAATCAAACCTTTGTGCCTATAGCTTTACTCAGCATTATAGTAATCAACTCCACTAACAGTTACTCATTATACAGATTTTAAAAAGTTTTTACCTGGAAGTTTAAGCTTTCTACAACAAGAATTACAGTGATGTTTTGCTCTAAAATTTTTTATTGCGTCTTCTCCTAGATTTGCTGGGCCAAAAACCATATCACAGGATCTGCAGAATTGGCATTAAAAAAATTTTTATTATATTATGCAAGTGGAAATGCAGAACTAAAAATTATGGTAATATGTCTGAATTGTTAAAAGTCAGTATTACCTCTTTTCTTCTGCTTTTATCACAGATGGGTCAGTCAGATTTTCACCCACACCTATATATATATATA